AAGCGCTCGCCCTCGAGGAGAATGTCGTCCGGCGGGAACAGCGGCTCCAATCCCTCCTCCCCGAGCTCTCACGGCTCCTCCAGCCCCGCTTTGTCGTATACTCTACCGTCCTCCAGACCCAGGCGGCCGATGACGTCGGCGGAGATCATGAGGCAGCAGATGAAGGTTACAGAGCAGAGCGATAATCGCCTGAGGAAGACCCTCATGCGGACCCTTGTTGGCCAAGTACGTTCCCATTTTGAATTCAATTTCCCTCAAGTTTTAGAATATATCGAAAAGTGTTTGTAATAATGCTTGTTTGGTACGAATGGACAGATGGGAAGACGGGCAGAAACCATAATCCTTCCATTGGAGCTTCTACGGCATCTAAAGCCATCAGAATTCAACGACGCAAACGAATACCATTTATGGCAAAAACGGCAGCTCAAGATCCTAGAGGCAGGACTTCTTCTTCACCCTTCCGTTCCACTCGATAAATCGAACACCTTTGCGATGCGTCTGAGGGAGATCATTCGTGGGTGCGAAACCAAGCCCATCGACACAGGCAAGAACTCCGACACCATGAGGACGCTTTGCAATTCTGTGGTGTCGTTGTCTTGGCGCAGTGTCAATGGGACTCCAACCGACGTCTGCCACTGGGCTGATGGCTTCCCTCTCAACATCCACATCTACGTTGCTCTTCTTCAAGCCATCTTCGACGTCAGGGACGAGACATTGGTACTCGACGAGGTCGATGAGCTTCTCGAGCTAATGAAGAAGACGTGGTCCACGTTGGGGATCACTAGGCCCGTCCACAATGTGTGTTTCACATGGGTGTTGTTCCAACAATATGTTGTGACAGCACAGCTTGAGCCAGACCTTCTTTGTGCTGCTCATGCTATGTTGGCGGAGGTGGCCAATGACGCTAAGAAGCCGGACCGGGAGGCGGTATATGTCAAGCTTTTGTCGTCGGTATTGTCTTCGATGCAGGGTTGGGCGGAGAAGAGGTTGCTTCATTACCATGATTATTTTCAGAGGGGTACGGTTGGTCAGGTAGAAAATCTTCTTCCCTTGGCCTTATCTGCATCAAAGATTCTAGGGGAAGATGTCACTATCCAAGAAGGGGCAGGGAAAGACGAAGGAGATGTAATGGTGGTGGATTCGTCTGGTGATCGTGTCGATTATTACATTCGATGTTCAGTAAGGAATGCATTTGCCAAGGTTCTCATCTTATCCATTAACTTTGATGATCGTATCTATGTTAAATCATTTAAGACATTCATCACAATCTGATTGCAATTTAGGTTCTTGAAAATGGGAACATCAAGGATGTAAAAGACGAGGTGAGTGAAGCTCTACTTCAGTTGGCCAAAGAAACGGAGGATTTGGCATTAAAAGAGAGGGAAAGCTTCAGTCCTATACTAAAGAAATGGCATCCAACTGCAGTTGGAGTTGCAGCAGTTACACTGCACAACTGCTATGGTACCATATTGAAGCAATATTTAGGCGGGGTGTCAACGTTGACGAGCGAAACAATTGGTGTTTTGCATAGGGCAGGGAAATTAGAGAAGGTGCTGGTTCAAATGGTGGTTGAGGATTCCGTTGATTGCGAGGATGGCGGGAAGGCAATTGTCAGAGAGATGGTTCCTTTTGAAGTTGATTCCATTATAATGAACCTCTTGAAAAAATGGGTTGATGAGAAGCTAAAGAAAGAAAGGGAGTGTCTTAGCAGAGCAAAAGAATCAGAAGTGAGTGGGAAAAATGATTGTGTTACTTCAATTTGTGACAATGCTTTTGTTTTTGAATTGAAGTTCGTATCAGCAAGTGATCTGTTCTAATCTTTTTTTCTTGCAGACTTGGAATCCAAGGTCGAAAACGGAACCATATGCGCAGTCGGCTGTGGAGTTGATGAAGTTAGCTAAGGAAACTGTGGAAGAATTCTTTGAAATTCCCATTGGAGTTACAGAAGAGTTGGTTCAAGATCTAGCAGCTGGTTTAGAGCATATCTTCCAAGAATATATCACATTTGTGTCATCATGTGGTAACATTTGTGTCTTCTTGTTTAGCCTCAAGCGCAAATGCCTGTGGAAACATGTTCCATCTTTTTTAATGCATTTATCTAATTAAATGACTGGTTACTGAAAGCTTTCTTCTAAACCTCCTCCATTTTCAGGTTCAAAACAGAGCTACCTCCCACAACTTCCTCCTCTAACCAGGTGTAACCGAGATTCGAAGTTTGTCAAGTTGTGGAAGAAAGCTACTCCTTGTAGTGTCGTCGGAGAAGAAATCCACCATTTTGGAGCTCATGAAGGTCATCACCCACGACCGTCAACCAGCCGTGGAACTCAACGCCTTTACATACGTCTAAACACATTACACTACATATTTTCCCACCTGCATTCACTAGACAAAGTTCTTTCCCTTTCTCCTCGAGTCACACCTTCAACCGGCAGTCGTTTTAACAATTCTAGGACTTATAGCAATTCTTCTTCTTACTTCGAAGTTGCCAACTCAGGAATCGAATCAGCCTGCCAACATATCTCAGAAGTAGCTGCCTATCGTCTGATATTCCTTGATTCAAGTTCTGTCTTCTACGATTGCCTATATGCGGGCGATGTCGCAAATGCACGGATTCGACCAGCATTGCGGATCCTGAAACAGAACCTTACCTTATTGAGTGCAATCGTCACAGATAGAGCTCAGGCATTGGCAATGAAAGAAGTGATGAGAGCCTCATTTGAGGCATTTTTAATGGTTCTTCTAGCCGGAGGATGTTCGAGGGTGTTCTACCGTTCCGACCACGAGATGATCGAGGAGGACTTCGACAACTTGAAAAGAGTATTCTGTGCATGTGGAGAGGGATTGATTGCAGAGAATATTGTCGAGCGGGAAGCCGAGGCAGTGGAAGGAGTAATAGCATTGATGAGCCAATGTACTGAACAACTGGTGGAAGATTTCAGCATCGTCACTTGTGAAACAAGTGGAATAGGAGTTATGGGTTCTGGACAAAAGCTACCCATGCCTCCAACGACAGGACGATGGAACAGAGCCGATCCGAACACCATCTTACGAGTGTTGTGCCACCGGAATGACCGAGCCGCTAATTTATTCTTAAAGAGAACATTCCAATTAGCAAAAAGAAGATGAAGCATTCTTCTCTTGTACATCAGAAAGCAGAGATAAAAACTAAAACCAGAGAGAGAGAGAGAGAGACACATACACACACACAGATAGAAACAGAGTATGCGTGTGTATTATAATTGACTTCAAATGAAGTTTGGGAGAAATAGATGAGGGAGGCACATTGCATACATAATTTACAAACCAAAGTTTCAAGGGAACAAGTCATTGGTGGTGTGGTTGGGAGGCAATGGTTTGCATTTCTCTTTCCTGTACTCACTCTTACCCATTGCCTTCTGTTTCATATCTCAATTAACACAACCACCTCTTTCAAAGAGAGAATAGAACAAAGTTTCCTCAAAACGGTTCCAAATCTTCCTTTTTCCTTGCTTAGGAGAAAGCAATCCATTTTATATTTAGTGAAATGACCTGACCAAGGAAAATCTGCGTATGTAATAACAACGACAAACGCCACAAATGTTAATGCCTGTAATGAAGCAGATCATATATATATGTATGTAAATATTATAACTATGTGTTAGCTGATTTTTCGTCCTAGTTCGATGCCTTCGATTTCTTTTCCTCCAGTTCATCTGTCAGCACTTTTATTGTATCCGACAGTTCAGCTCTATACAATTACACATACATTTTGGAGATGAGCAAGAAGAAGAGGAATCAAGATTACTAGCATTCAGATTGTTCAGAATCCATCCCATTGCCACGCTCGACGGTGATGGCTAGAGAATATATGAGTTTTACAACTTAATCAAGTTAAGAGTTTAAATTGATCCAATTAAAAGTTTGAAAGATTAAAATTGACATTTTGACATAAATACAAAGATTAAAAAATATATAACATTTACATAAATCCACTTGGTTTTAAGTGAAAAGACTAGTAAAATCTACATATGATATGACAGCATATGTCAAACATACATATATGTTGGCTTATTTTTCATCCTGGTTGTGGGATGCCTTCAATTTCTTCTTCTTGAGTCCTTCAGTGAGCAGTTTTATAGAATCAGAGACTTCAGCTTTGTACACATACATTTTGGAGACGACCAAGAAGATGCAGAAATTGACAACATTAAGCACCGCAAGTAAGGCGTAGAAGTAGTCAAGATGAGAAGCGTTCAGGTTGTTCTGAATCCATCCATTCCCACGTTTATTGGTAATATCGGAAACTGTCGAAAGAAGAAAACTACTTAGGAAATTCCCAATTCCGAGCGAAGTCATCATGTACGAACTGCCTAAACTCTTCATGGTTTCTGGCGCCTGATCATAGAAGAACTCAACACTTGCTATTTGAACAAATGCATCAGCAATTCCCATCAGCATGAACTGAGGGAGCAGAGTGAAAATGGAGAGGGGGAGAACCGCGTGTCCTCCATTTTTCACCAACCCATTTTCTCTGGCCACATCAAGTCTGTGCCTTTCTACTCGAGATGCCACCGTCATGATCAATACGTGGAGAATCATTCCAATTCCCATTCTTTGCAACAGTGTGATCCCTCTCGGATTTTTGGTCAGTCTCTGCATTATCTTGACGAAGACTCTGTCGTAAACGACGATAGTGACAAGCATGGAGATGGTAACAAAAGCATACAAACTTGCAGGAGGGACTTTGAAGTGGCTGCCGATGCTTCGGTCCAGAGTGGTGCCTTGCTTTATGAAGAGGGTGTGTGCCTGCGCCAACATTGTGCTTGGAATGAAGGTGCATATCAGAATTGGGATCATTCTCAGCATCTGTTTCGTCTCCTCCACTTGGGTCACGGAGCATAGCTTCCATGGGTGATCAGTTGTTGAACTTGAGACTGTTTTTATAGCAGCCTTGTTTAAGATCCTGCATTATTCCACAAATTGAATCATGATTGAGACAAAACAAAACAGAGGATGCAAAACAGAGCAGAACAGAGCCAATAATGTGACCTCAAGGACGGAGTGGAATCAATCCTGAAAGTTCCAGGCTTGGAGTAGTGTTCGAGGTCAAGCTCGTGAAGTTGTTTGGGGTCTTTAGGAAGAGGTAGGGTCCAATTGAAAGCAGCAGCGACAATGACCTTAGCCATTCTAGAGAAGGGGCTGCCAGAGGGGAGCTTGTGCCTGTAAAAGGGAGTGCCGGCGAGGAATATGAGAATGGCGACGGCGAGGCCAGAAGTGGGAATGCCATATCCCAAGGCCCAGCCGACATTGTCCTGAATGTAAACGAGAACGGTGGAGGCGAAGAGAATGCCAAAGAAGACGCTGAAGAGCCACCAGTTGAAGAAGGACAGCTTCTGGGCCTTCTCTTTTGGATCGAACTCGTCGAATTGGTCGGCTCCCATGGTCGAGATGTTGGGTTTGGTACCGCCGCTCGCCACAGCAAGCGCGTACAGCGCGCCGAAGAACACGCCCAGCTGTAATTTGGAGGCCTGTTTGCAGTTTTCTTTATTTGCTTCCAAACATGGCGGCGGTTTCAGGCTTGGCACTGACACTGCTACCGTTAGAACAGCCATCGACTGTTGAAACCAACATTCAAATATTACTAACACAGTGGCATAATAGAAAAGTGAAAGCAAAATTATCAATATGAGAACAACATTGATGATTTTTTAGAAGTTTACCAAATTAAGAGCACAGATTGAAACTTTTAAAAACTTTGTCCAGGACTAAGTTTATAATTTGAGTGAAAAGAAGGAATTAATATATATATATATATATATACTTTTTAAAAAACAGATTATCAAAAAGTTCAAAATATATATTTTATTAGAAAGTAAATGAAAATTTAAAAAATAATAATAATAAAAGAGGTGGGGGTGGCACACGTGCCCCCGGTTACCTTAACAGTTAACACCATAGTTGATCCTAATTGGAAATTGGATCTACGTTGACTTTTCTCCAATAACTAAGCTAAGCACTGTACTATTAAAAAAAAAAACATTTGCTCATTTTGTTGAGGTCAAATCTTCATTTAAGACCACACAAATAAAACTCAGAACCAAAAAATCAGTCAAAAAAAAATTGTAAAATATTTGGCTCCTAGGTATAAGCCTATACACAGTTAAAAGAGAGAACTGTGAAAGTATGAAAATCTTTAAAAAATGATGAGTCGTTAAATATTTAATAGTCACAACAGTTTCAATCTAACAACTAGTGTGCTATCATTTAGTTTAGTAGCAAGGAGGGCCATTTGTTTATGCAGGAAATGACCTAAAAAAAATAAATTTCAATCCACCAGATGATTCAAACTTGAAAGCATTTATTAAAGAAAAGAAGGTAAAAAAGGGGGATTTAAAAAATGAGAAAGTAAAAGAAAAAATTGGGAGTGGAGATGAGGGGTACCGTGAAGCAGAGGAGTGTGGAGATAAGGAAAGTGCGGTAGCGGCCGAGATGAGCGTCGGCGATGTAAGCCCCAAGGACGGGCGTTATCCAGAGGGTTCCGGACCAATTGGTCACATTATTTGAGGCGGTGACGGTGCCTTGATTCAGCTTTGTGGTCAGATATATTATCAGATTCGCCGATATTCCGTTGAACATCATCCGGTCGATCACTTCGTACACTGTGTAAAATCAAAGTCAAATCTTGCTCCGGTCAATCGGAATTTGATTTTAAGGTTTAACTTACCGATGATGAAGGAGCAGGCCTTCCAACGGCCAGTTTTGCGGCGGAGGACGGGGTTGCCCTTCAGATCCACGCTTCCGTCTTGGGTGTAGTCGTCATTAACCACCCCACCTTCCACTTCCTCTGCAACACCACCCATTAATTGAAACTTGAAACTGATCTATTTTTCTCTCTACACTCTACAAACCCAATATATAAACATAAACAGTGTTATTATTAATGATTATTTATGGGCTATGGCCATGGCCATGGCCATGGCCATCACTTTCTTCATAATTTTGGAATTGACTAAATATTTATTACTCAACTTTCTCATTTACTTTATTTTTTTATGTCTGATTATTTATGACCATGCAACAAAGTAAGGTTCAGACGCTTTAATTAACAACTGGACTTGGTATTCTGGATTGTCCAAATTAATATTATATTTTTTTATAATATAATATTGTCAGAAAACTAGGCGACGGTGGACACACCAAGGGGTTTAATCACAAATTTTTAACTCACCCGTGGTAGTAACTGGGCCCTTCCATTTTATAGGCGCGGAGGGCCGACCCGTCCACACACGCACACGCACAACACTAATCGTCTGTGATCCTGCACCTCGCTGTGGCTCCCGATCGAATTTCTCCCTCAACAATACTTTTTTTCTTCTAAATTTTCTTTATCTCTTAGATTTTTCTTCTAAGCTTTTATTTTTATGTCTTTGCACTATAACGATAATCAAATATAGAGCATGAATTTTCACCATGTCCTCACCCTGCCTCCGATTCCATTTTTAAATAATCAATATATATTTTATTAATTGTTTAATTAAATTATGAATACAATATTTTTATATCTAATTATTTATACTAGTAAATAATAATTTTTATTAAAACAAATATAAATTTTTTATTTTTTATTTTTTATTTTTTTAAATTCTAACATTAATTATTAAACTAGTATTTTTTCTATGAATATTCCCACTCAAATTGAGGATTTCTCAACCAAAACCTCGATTCCCAAAATTAGAAAATGGATAGATGAGATGAGGACTAAAAATTTTCACGAGAACGAGGATGGAAGAGGACATCCTCGACTCCTGTCCCACATTGTTGTCATACCTGCTTGTCAAACATATATATTTTTTATCTTTTAAAAACAAAAGATAGAAAAACCAAAAACTAAAAATGTTACCAAATGGACACTAAAGAATAACTATTTTAGTTTATGAATTAATTTTATCCATATGTCTATTTTTGTTGTTGCTAGCTATTATTTTATTACCTAATATTCACCTCACCTAATACTTGTTTCAACCAACTTATATGATCCTTCCAACATGTCCCTTATGGTAAGTTTATACATAGACACATATTCTAAATATTCACACGTTTCTATTTATAAAAAGAAAACTAACAGTAAATATTAAAATGATTATTTTGTTCAAACTAAAATAAATAATTTAAAAGTTGATGGAACTAAAATATAATTCAAAAACCAAAATAAATATGGTGAAAATTGAAACAATAAATTACATAAAATGAAAGGAGTAGAAGCTTCTTTTTCCTTATTCTTCACCACTTGAAATGGAAACTAAAAGTTGGGAAATGGACTGCATTTTGTTGATCATCAATCCCTCTCTCTCAATGGAACACTTAAGACCTTTGAGAATGACATAACAGAGAGGAGAGGAATAACAATCCAAAAGAATCGCATTCCACAACCAATGACTCTAAACCAACCCTTTTCAACACTCTCACCCACAACTACTATACTTATTTTTCACCAAAATGGCTACAGTTTTCCCCACATACCCTTCTCCAAAATTTCACTTCTTGCCTCCACATTTTATCTCCAAGGAATCTTTCTCGTATTCGAATCAATTGATCTCTATAATCTCTTTTGATCTTATCGTTAGATTTTTTGCTTCATTTGTAGTTAGTATTTTCTCTCGATCATACTCACTAACAATCCACAAACATTTAACACTATCGTGTATATTTTTTAAAGTTCGCCTTTGTTATAAAATGTAACTTTATTAACATGATCGTGATTAGGGATGATTTGGTTGGAAAGCGAAAAGGACTCTCGGAAGATAATGAAAATTTGTTTAAATTAAATACATGATTATATCTATAATAGAAGAGTAAAATATATATTACTTCCTGAGTTTTGCAAAACATATGATCTTTTGATCCATTTTGAAAAATAAAATATACAATTGAAACAATACACAATTAAATAAATAATAATAAAGAGTAAAATGAAAACATAAAATTTCATTTTTTACCGCACCACTCTTCTTAATCTTTTAAGAAGAAAATACGATATTTCAATTTTAGAAAAATAAAGGATGGAAGCAAATTCCTTATTTGTAGTACTCATTTTAATTTTGTTTTATTTAATTTAAGAAAACAAAAATAACAAACGAGCAAAATTATAATAATCAGTAAGTGAAAAAATAGTTTTTCTCTAGTTATAAGCATAACCTTTTATATAGTATAAATTTTCAACTTAGGTACGGATGACTTTTAATTTCGATATTTTATATTATATTCAATAACCATATTTTGAATATATATATACATTATAGTTTTAGGGCATGCGATGACTATTTTTATGTGGAAGGGTGAATATGATATTGTAATAAATTTGCATTTCAGATCTCTTACGTATGACAAATTTCTGAAAAAAAAAAAAAAAAAAAAAAATCAGATGTATCTTTCAAGTTCAAATTGAACCTTATTATCCTTAGATAATTAATACAATTACAATAAACTAAAATCGTTTAAATAATTGTTACATCATTTAATCAATTATAAAACATGGGCGTAATACAAAATTGATAGAACTTAAGAAAATAAACGAACATCATAATTGATTTTTTGTTAATTTAATTATCAGTTTGGGAGATTTGTTCAATGCCAAATGAACATCATAATTGAAAGCATATAATTAGAATTCATACGTGTTACCAAATTTAAGGATAACAATGGATTTTTCTCTCAATTCTTTAACACTAATTCAGCAATTATATTATAATAATTAAATATACGATATGATATAATCATAGAATATAATTAATTCGATAGTTTTTTCTCTAACTAAATTGGTGGGCTTTGCAGCTGCAGGTTTGACATTTGAAATCCTTATAACTTTATAAATCTCTAACACGCAAACAAAGTACGAATTAAAACAATTCTTTTACATTATATAGTGGCTTAAAGCTTAACTAATTAGTTTTCAAGGGATTAAGAACTTCCAATTTGAGTATATTGATTTAACTTAACGTTGAATATTGAAACTAATAAATATAATTTTTGGTCCTCGATATTTTGTTCATTTTAGTCTCTTTATTTTCAAAGTGTAGATTTTGGTCCTATATTTTCAACTTTTATCTTTTGATTATAGTTTTAGCATGATATTTAACTTATGTTAAATTTCTTTCAAGTTATCGGATAAAAAAATTGTTTTAAAGAGTTATTATTGTGTTAAAATTTGGTAAATACGAATCGAATTTGTCACTTAAAACACATGAACCAAAATAGACATTTCAAAAGTACAAATGCTAAAATGAACAAAATTAAAAGTACATAGACCAAAATAATATTTAAATCATAATTCTAATAATGTTTCAAAATCCTCAATTATGACATTTTATTGATTAGCTAACGTTACCATAACATATATATGTAATCGTTTGAAGCCGTAGTTATCCAGAGCACACAATTATTGAATAGTATAATTAAAAAGTATATATTTTGTGCTAATCAATTAGTTATGTTTAGGTTGGTAAATATAAATGATATCTAATAAATGTTATATTACAATATTGATCATTATAATATCTAAGTCGGTCTGTTTAACAAATACAAATTGTTCAATAGAATAAATATCAATATTTCAAATAGGTATTTTTTAATATCAACATCAACCCCTGAGATCTAGAAAAATATTGATACATTGTGATGGAAATTTTAGGTTTTTCTTTTTTTTTTTTTAATTAGTTTTTAAGTACGTTGGAAATTTTAGTTTATTAATTAGAGAAATAAGGAAGATTCTTAACGTCCCATGTAACATAGGTAAAAGTATAGTTGGCCATCAACATAATTAAAGAACATTTAGAAGATTCTTATATACTAACTTCGTCATTGCCTACGTAATTAAAATTAAAATTTGATTTCTACAATTTTATTAAGGTTGATGATGAAATTTGTACCATAAAGAGCAGCTCGCGTTTTTTAGAGAGGTGTTGATTTGATTAACATGTTCTATAGTATGTGTCAAAATATGTTACTAAAACAAAAATTTAAGTTGAAATGACACTWTTCTTTTCTTGTAATTAATCCATTCTAAAATTTTAATTTTGCGTGTAATTAATTTACTAACTTTTAAAGTTTTTAAATAAGTTTTTTCTTTTCAATTGTATATCTGTATTATATATATAACGGGTTATGGACRAGAATCTTTACTTTCTATTTTTGTCCTCAATTTTTTAATRAATATCTATTTTAAAATTTATATGTATGTAATTGTTGGRTCGACTATCTGTTGAGAGAAAATAGCCTGCGCATGGTACTATTGAAATTGATGATAATTTATATATAACACATCACATATATTTTTTGACAGAAAAGAATATTAAGTATTGGTCATGTACAAAATTGTGTATTTTTTTTCCTCTCAAAATGTCTATCAAAGTTTTTCTCAAACTTTTAAAAAGAAAAGGAAATTAAAAGTAGAAATGATAATTCTCTAAATAATTAAAAATTTACAATAATTTTATAAATATTCGAAAATATAATATATAAATACGCTGAAAGAATATTCCAAGAAATTAATATAAAAAAAGTGATTATTTCATTAAAGTTTTTTTTTTACAAAATTCAAAATTTAGTATAATTTTGAAGATCTTAAAAAAATAATTTTAAAATTTTTTATATGTAAGTAATTTAAAATCATTTTTACTGTATTGCACGTGATTATTGCTAATATATAATAATTTTTTATCTATTATAATCCTATTTTTTTAAAAACTTATTAACCATTAAATTGAAATATTAATATCGTGCTAGACAAAAAGTTAAAAGAAAAATTCATTTTTCAGAATTAAGCTATAAATACTACTTCCACATAGTGTGAGTGATCCACTTGGATACACGACAGGTTTTGAAGGGTGAGTGTTTTTTTTTTAATACAAGATAAAAAATAGTGAAAATTKGTCATTAGTTTCAAAATTTGGAAATTAATTGTTTATCTCAGTTGCAGTTTGGTACTTCTGGCAATAATTTATGATGCGAATTTCGTAATTAGCATTAAGATTCCCGATGCCATCCGTATTTGAATCGTTTTTCGTCAAATGAAAGCTCAGAAGAAGTACTGAAATCGAGGGATGAAGATGGATTCCAAATCCAGTCCCACAAATTTCAGAAAACTCCAAAACTGTACCATTCATGACGAGCTCTGTTGTTACAGAAATTTGGGGAATTTTCATATTTGGTTATTGGAGGGCTTGGATTTGTTGTCCTTGAGTTCATCAGAGAGCAGTTTTATGGAAGCAGAGACTTCGGCCTTGTACACATACATTCTGGAGACGAGCAAGAAGACGAAGAAATTGACCAGACTCAGCACTGCAATTAAGGCGTAGTAGTAGTCCAGATGGGAAGCATTCAGGTTGTTCAGAACCCATCCATTGCCATTTTGCTTTGTGATGTGAGAAACTGTTGAAAGAAGAAAACTGCTGAGGAAGTTCCCAATTCCAAGCGAGGTCATGGAGTATGAAGTGCCCAAACTCTTCATGCTTTCTGGGGCCTGATCGTAGAAGAATTCAATCTTTGCCACTTCCATGAATGCGTCCGCAGTTCCCATGAGCATGAACTGTGGGAGCAGAGTGAAGATGGTTAAGGGGAGCTGTCCTCCACTCTCTACCAATCCATTTTCTCTGGCCACGTGAAGTCTGTGCCTTTCTACTCGAGATGCGATCGTCATTATCATGATGTGGATAATCATTCCAATTCCCATTCTTTGTAGTAGTGTGATTCCTCTTGGGTTTTTCGTCACTCTGCGCATTGTCTTCACAAAAACCCTGTTGGTTAACACAAAACACAATCATGTGTAAGACAATTATAGGGTTGTATCCGAGCTTAATCTAGCTCTATGAAGTCATAATCAAATCTTTCTGAGACATTCGTACTGAATATGATATTTCCCTAGCACCTTATCAGCACTCAGTTCCTTGTGCTTGCCTTTCTTTTATCAAATCTCAGGTACATGGTCTAATCATGAGGGTAGGGTAGCAAGCAACGAGAAAAATCGAAATCTTCCTACTCGAACAAGAAATCTTATACTTCACGTCATTTAAAAAAAATACCATGATGTGTCATCTAAAAAAAACCATGATGTGTTGATTTGGGGGCSATTGAGTTCCCCCAAATTGCAAAGCAAGAAAACATTAGCCCTTTGTTTTGTTTGTATAAAGTGACTTATAATTTTAGAAAATCAATTATACTTTTAAAACTTTTCTTTTTCTCAAAAAACACTCTCATAGTTAGCAAAATACCTGTCGTAGATGACAACACTGAGGAGCATGGAGATGGTGACAAAAGCAGCCAAACTAGCCGGAGGGATTTTGAAGTGGCTGCCTACGCTTCTGTCGAGAGTGGTACCTTGCTTGATGAAAAGGGTATGCGTCTGCGCCAACATTGTGCTTGGAATGAACGTGCATATCAGAATTGGGATCATTCTCAGCATTTGTTTGGTCTCCTCCACTTGGGTCACTGAGCACAGCTTCCATGGCTGATCAGCTGTTGAACTTGAGCCTGTTTTTATAGCAGCCTTGTTAAGGAACCTGAGCGACGGCGTGGAATCAATCCTGAAAGTTGCTTTCTTGGCGTAGAATTCAAAGTCAAGCTCGTGGAGTTGTTTGGGGTCATTAGGAAGAGGGAGGCTCCAATTCCTAAGAGCAGCAACGATGACGTGGGCCATCCTGGTGAATGGGCTTCCAGTGGGGAGTTTGTGCCTGTAAAAGGGAGTGCCGGCCAGGAATATGAGAATGGAAATTGCGAGGCCCATGGTGGGAAGCCCATATCCCAAGGCCCAGCCCACGTTGTCCTGAATGTAGACAAGGACGGTGGTGGCGAAGAGAGTGCCGAAGAAGATGCTGAACATCCACCAGTTGAAGAAGGACAGCTTCTGGGCCTTCTCCCTCGGCTCGAACTCGTCGAACTGGTCGGCTCCGATTGTGGAGATGTTGGGCTTGGTCCCGCCGGTGCCCAGAGCCAGCGTGTAGAGCGCGCCGAAGAACACGCCCAGCTGCAACGTCGACGCCTGCTTGCACCTTTCTTTATTCACTTCCAAACATGGCGGCGGCTTCAGGCTTGGCGCCGACACCGCCAGTGTCACGAGTCCCATTCCCTGTCAAATCAAACTCAATCCCTGTCTTGTTTTCCTCGACCTGATATCCTTTTTGTTCACATTGTAAAACTTTTCTTAAACAAATTTCTAAATATTACGGGTTGTGTCTGTTTAATTTTCCTATTTTAAAATTGACTGTACAATGAAGAAAACTCCGTAGTTCTGTCTGACGATCTCCATACTAAACAGATTCAAATAAAACCACTTTTGTAATTACAAGGATTAGGTATTAAACTAGCCTTGACAACTCTTTTACTTGTGAATTTAGAAATTAATACAAGACCCAAAAAGTACTATTCATATTAATTGAAGAGAATTTGTTTTGTTCTAATTTCACCATAAATCTAAGGCCAACCTAAATTTAGAGTGGACTTGTTAGTCAAAAATAAAAAATTTGAAAATCTATAAAGAAAGTTTGTAAGTACAAGGTCTAGGATTTTATTATAAAGTACAAAACTTATAACTTATTATTTTTAAATATTACATAAACCAAACAAGCTAGGACTAGCTGACTTATGTTTGGATCATAATTGGTTGATATCTAAATTTAACTTACTTAAATATCGAAATTTGATTAAAGTTTAACAGTAATTAAGACATTTTTGTCAAAAAGAAAACAGTAATTAAGACATTCTTTTTTTTTTTTTAATTAGAAGCTCAAATTCTCATTTATCCTACTAAAAAATAAATAAAAATGATAGAAAAAAAAGCTAGATATTTTAAATGTTTGAGAATGTTATGAAGTATTTTGTCGTTTATTACGTCAAACATAGTAAATGTAAACCCAAGTTGCAATTTTAATTTTTAATATAAAAAAGGTACAAAATATTTCAGCCCTCTTTCTAAAAAAAAAATAAAATAAAAACATTTCAGCCCTCCCAAGTAACTGATAGGTACTGTTGACCTGGAGCCGSAGAAATTTAAGACGTGGCCGCGTGGGACTACTACTACTAGACAAAAATAAAATAACAAAAGAAAAACGGATATATATATATGGTGAAGTAATAAAAGAAAAAGGGATTAGTGAAAAGAAATCCAAATCATAAATAGGAATTAAAAAAAAAAAACAAAACTTGACTAAATAACGTTAAGGTAAATTTTACTAAAAGAATAGAAAAAAATAGTATGTATATAAATTAACTACGTGAAACTCAAATTCATGTGTGCAATTAATCCTCGTTTTCATTTATTTTAGGGAATATATTGGAAGATACTCCCACTTAATTATGGCTAATTAAACAAATATCTATGATTCCCTTCTCAAATACAAATACAATATGAATTAATACTCCACATGGTATTGATTTTCCTAAAAAGTGAAGTGAGCCTTWTTTTTCTTTATGTTACAGTATTTAAATATCAGATCTGAAAGATTTAAGTTTTAATGGAATTTAATAAATATATAATTGTACCTCGTATAGGAGAGTGATCAGAATATTATTTCAACTTCAATCTAAGTTGGAAGATAGATTTAATTATAATTTGTCTCGTACTTATCAGTTTACATTGTATATTTAATAAATTTAGGAGGCAATAAAATATTTTTTAGACAATTATGTCCCTTGCTCGGGGACATTGAAGAAAAAAATGAAATAAGGAAAGGACGAGGACTTCGAGTTGGGGTGGGTTCAAGATAACCTTTTAGAGCAACGTTCGTATATTTTTAAATTGGTTAAAATGTTACAATTTGATTTTTTTTTTTTTTTAATAAAGTTACAATTTGATCTTGAACTTTGAGGGTGGTGCTTATTTTTCTCATACAAAAAGTTTTTAAGTTTAAATTTTAAGAATTATGTCTATTATCTTTTTTTTTTTTGAGATAAGCTATTTAGTTTTTGTACTGTAAAAAGATTTAAATATATTTATTGCTAATGTGAATTTAGTTAAGAGATTAAAAAGCATTTCATTCATGTTTTAGAGGGAAAATATTTCGCTCCCTAACGACAATGACCCAATCTTGTTCTTCTATACTATTCAAAAATTGTAAAAAGTCTTTGTTTTTTGTATTTATTTTACTTAGTTGTCAAACATTTAATGATGGTAAAGACAAAAGGAGAAGAAATGATGAGTGGCATATGGATATTCATATACCAATTATTCCGAGACAAAACCAAACAAAAATCTCCAAAGAGAAGAAATTAAGCAGAAAAGTTTTGATAAAGAAAGAGGAAGAAATTGTCCAAGGGAAGATAAGAGTGRACACATCTATATGGTTTTTTGTGGGAAATAAGAGGATTGGGAACTCTTTTTTTGGAGGTTGTAGATTCAATCTTCATCTATAAATTTTGCTAATTTCAAGCCAACGAAACACTTGAAACATTGAATTAATCACGAAGACTCGACACAAAATTAAAATTCTAAAATCCTATTATAATCTTTTTAATATATATACATACGCAAAGAGACACAAACTTGAAAATTCATGTATTTAGTGAAAAGAGCCTTTTAAAATTCAAAAATTAAATAAATATAATTTAAAAGAAAAATTGATTGATTAAGCTTAATTATAACTAAAAAAGAAAAAATAAGAAAAGTTTGAAAAGTGTTTGTCGGAAAAAGAAAAAGGAGAAAATAGGGATATATACCGTAAGGCAGATGGCGGAGGCGATGAGGAAGGTCCGGTAACGGCCGAGATGGGCGTCGGCGATGTAAGCGCCGAGGATGGGCATTATCCAGACGGTTCCGGTCCAGTTGGTAACATTGTTGGCGGAGGTGACGGTTCCTTGATGAAGCTTTGTCGTCAAATATATTATCAGATTCGTCGATATCCCGTAGTACGCCATCCGCTCGAACACCTCGTAAACTGCACTCGCATTCTCAGTCTCTAAGAGTAAAAATTCAAAATCAAACTCAAATTCAAATTCAAATTCGCCCACCGTACCGACGATGAAGGAGCATGCTTTCCAACGCCCTCGTTCGGAGC